TAGATAAGACCAATTCTGGAGTGTGACCATTAAAAATTGGTGGTCAAGCCAAGATAGACGGAGTAGAGTTTGATAACAGATTAGAACTGGAAAATCCGATTTTTTGGTTTTATCAGAGTTTTTGATTTTTGGTTTATCAGAATTTGTCTCAAAAAGGAGAATTTCAAAGGCAGTGTGGTATTTATTGTTACACGGTAGACGACAAGACTTTGGGTTCGATTTGAAAACTGAAACGTTGGTTTCATTGCATGGTGTTTAAGATTCAAGTTCATGACTAGCTTACTTAACTAAAAATTAAATTCTGAAAATGAGATCTATCTAACAATAAACCGGTTCATCCGTTCATGACATTCTCTTTGGTTCGTTTCGTGGCAATAATTACAAATTCATTTTATTTGGAATATAAATCAATTTGAAAAGGTTATGCTATATGATGTTGGATTGATCCACCGTTCGATCCAATAAATGGTATAAAATAAATACACACATGATCATACGTAGACATCATCGTAAGTTATAGTTGGTGGGCAATATGAAGCTAACATTCGAATTTCATCACATGCATGATGCTCATTTGCTGTAACCTAACCCAACATTGCCACCAATTTCCAGATATATATCTCCTTTTATTCTTTGTTAATGATATTTGGGAACATATATAATTTTTTTTCCCAAGTATATATCTGGTTTTCTCCCCTTTGTTGCCATGACATAATCCGGATTAAAATCCATGAACATGCGCGTATGATATTCAAGGTTTTAGTGGTGACTATTTTTCATGGCCATCTTCTAATTTCATGAATTGGCGTAAAAAAAGAATCGGGTGATTTTATATTTTCCATGTCTATCTTTTGATGTTTGTACTCTCTTTTTTGGAAATATATTTTATATATATCACATTGAAATGTCTGCGGATTTTTCGGTAATTATTATGTTTTTTTTGTCTCCACTTACTACCATTTTGTTTTTTTATACACACTCAAAAATTAAACTTAGGACATCATTTCCATTATTAGCTTATTCTTAAGAGCCAATTCTATGTCTGATAGAGCCTCTTTTCTCGAAAGTAAGCATTTGATTCTTGCTTTGCTTTTCTTTGCGATCAAAATCCTTCTCTTTAAGCGCCCACAAACTCTGAAAATCTTTCACAGACAATCTTTGACAATGGCTATCCTTTTGCCTTTCGCTTTTATTGCCTTCACACCAGGAAGCCGACGCATTATTTCATCATCTCCAATACTAATTGGCTTGGAACTTGATGAATATGCGGAACCATCCACACCCTTTCTTCTTTTAGAACTTTCAGTCCCTTTAGTAGAAGGAGCTCCACACCATTTCTGATCATACCTTAGCTCTCTTCAAGCATGATCCATTGCGAACTTCTTCTTCTTATCATATTGGTAGAGTTGTTTTT